CCACTCCCGGCGATGCTTTGGAAATCTGACGCTGTAGCACAAATAGCTGACCGGCTTTGATCGCCTTGGCTAATCTCATTTTGTGTTTGTCTGGTGTGTCTTTGTCTAAGAAGTGCTTGAACTCTGGCTTCAGAAGCTGGTCGATGACCTTAATGAAGCCATACTCTGTTGCCATCTGCAGGGCTTGCTCATAGTCATCCTCGGAGTTAATAAATGCATCGTGCTTAATGAGATATAGCACAATATCTTCATGCCCTCCTTGAGATGCGGCTTGGATGGCGCTCTGAAACTTCGAGCCACATTGTGGAGATGCACCGTGTTGAAGCAGCTCCTCTACAATGTCTTGATATCCTCTGAAACACGCAACATGCAACGGACTTCCATTTGTACCGCATTCGACGTTCAGCTCTGCACCCTTCTCAATCAGAGCCGCCACGGTAGAGAGATGACCAGTAGCAGCGGCAAGGTAGAGTGCGGTATGCCCAAGGTCATTTCTTTGGTCCCAGTCTATATCACTCTCGGACTTTGCAATAATACTCAGCAGGCCGTCTATACCAAAGACGGCTGCTAAGAAGAGAGGAGATGACGTTTCATTTGGTATGGCATCAAGAGCCGGCTTCTCTGGGTGATCCCTCGGCAGCAGCCGTGCAATCTCCTTCGCAGTATCTAGCCAGGCTTCGAAGGAAAGGCTGACATCATAGTCCTCATCCTCGAAGACGAATGAGATCATATCTTGAAACAGCTTGTCCTCCTTCTTGACAACCCTTGAACTCTCAAAGTGGCCTGCCCAGTGCGTAGCGGAATAGAAGAAGAAGCCTCGAACCTGCTGTTCCAAGCTTCCACTATCAGGCGGACCACGCGCACTGACTTTTATGCAGGTCGATGCCAGCAAACTGTGAGCTACGGAGGCAGAGAATAAAGACTGCTTAGTGCGGAGGATAAACTCTCTGACTGAATGATGAGCAAGTCGGACAACTTGGCGATGGAGGTCTATAACCACCAAGTTCGAGCACACAGCAGATATGTCCGCCGCTGTGTAAAGGACATCCCCTATGCTTGTTGCAGTGACAGCGGCCAGCAATGCCTCAGGAGTCAATGGTGATTTCATGTAGAGCAGCCAGGAGAAGGTGTGAATGGCGACTTGTCGTGACGTGTCTCCTGATTGCAAGATCTGTGCGAGGTCGTTTTCGTAAAGCGTGTCGAGATCAGATAGAATGTTGGACCGTAGAGCCGGAAGCAGATCATGTTCGTTCTTGACTTTGCGAAGCTGCTGTACTTGTCGGTGGACCCATAGGAACCTAGAAAAAGTCAATTGATCAAGACAATAACGAGAAGATGAATGAAAAGGGAGCCTACATCTCGCCTGCACCCTCTAGCAGCTCCTTTGTCAAGCAGCTTCTTTTGTCCGGTGAGAGCCTTCCACTGATTAGTTTGGTGTCGTCAATCTTCTGAGTGATGAACTGAGCCATGTCATCATGGACAAGGTCGGCCGTCACAATTATCTCCTTGGCAGTCGGTAGCGACGAGAGGATACCGAGGCTATTCCTGCTTGTGATTAACACCTTGACGACGTTCTCAGCCCTTGAAATGATGTCAGATAAACACCGCAAGAGAATATCACAACTCTGATCCTCAACCTGCTCAACACCATCGAGCAATATTGTGATGGGGTCTTCATTGGCGACTTGGACGATGCGATCCACGCACTCCTTCCTACTCAATTTTGGAAGGTCCAGTCCCTGGAGGAGAGCTGATCTGGAGCGGCGCTGGAAGTCGGAATAGAAAAAGTCGCGAACATCACTTTGGGTTTCTGTCATCGCGAGTTGACGCAGAATGCTACGAAGGATTCCGTCCGCTGACGATCTCTCCGGTTCTGACTCGCTTTTGAGGCAGTAGAAATATGCGAAGGGTGTCGATTCTGGCTGTGAAGCCCAGGTTGCCCGCAATGAATCGACTATCACAGAGAAAAGATTGGTCTTGCCTGAACCCGTGATTCCATGGATCCAGAGCGTTGATGAAGAGCTAGACTCGCACCAGCTTCTGTAAGCCTCATGCTTCAGAAGCCACTGGCCGAAATTTGGCGTTCTTGAATCGGATATGGTCTCGTGATGGATTGAGAATGGCGACGTGGACATCCAGGATATCATCTTTATATAATCGTCCTCTTCGACACGCTTGGTGTTATTGTTGATTTGATCTCTGAGGCGAAGAACTGTCTTCTGGATAAAGCGTAAATCCGAAGTATCCTGAAGTTTAGCTAGTTTGAGAACCTCATCTTCTCGGGATAAGATCTTTTGTATCCCATCGTCGCCTGTCCAAAAGACACTCTTGGCGAGTCGGACTGCTCGGGTCAGTGAATGTCTTTCTCAACGGGGCTGCAAACATGCCTGCAGTTGATTGTGAGAAAAAGGCAATAGTTTGTGCCAGATATGTCAAGACTTCTGTATAAAGAACTGTGAGGGCTGTTTCAAGAGCAGGCTGAGCGTGTTCATCTCGGCCAAGGTGCAGATTCTCAAACTCCTTGTATCGTGCAATGATCCGAGACACCACCTCAAGGTCCTGAACCATGGTTCCATACTGCTGGACATCGTTGACTGTCACTTGAAGAAGCAGTCTGACTGCGGCCCAGGGCAGCGAAGCGTTACTGGCATCAAACTGGACAGCCGCATCGCCAACCGCTTTAAAGGAATCGATCCATTTCGCAATTTTTTCGAGAACATCTCGGATGATCACGACTTCTCCATTTGACCGCTTGAACTTCCAGCGTTTACGGAGACTAGTGGCTTTTCGGGTCTCCGCTGCTTCCAGGGCGGCAGCCAGAATGTCGCGCTTATGCGTCGCAGCCTGGCCGAGCGATGTCTTGAGATCTGTGCCCAGGGAGTTGAATGCTTGGTCCCAGAGACTCTGCACACTTGCATTGTCTGAGGGAGGCATTTGCGTCGCCATGACGATTTAATACTGACAATTCTTCTTTGCGCAGTTTACTCCGCTAGTAATCTAGTTTGCAGGTTCCAGCCCAACTCGCGATGATCAAGACACCAAGTCTCAGCCGCAATGCTCGCGACGCTTACCTTTTTAGGCTGCTATCTTGGGTGCTTGCCTTGACACGGATGGCGTCCAGTAAAACGCTGACTGTATATGCCGGGTGTGACCAATAGATGCATTTTCAAGGCCACAGCCCAGTCTTGCGTTATCGGTCAGTTCGGACAGTGCACGCCGTACGCTGGTAGTCTTCATTGACAACAACCAAGGGTAATTCATGTAAATTCTACATATTGAGGGTCATGATCCAATGCATAAATGTGGAATTACCAACTCGGTAAGAGATATTGTTGTTGAACTGTGAGCCTGTCCTGTGTGCTCTGCTTTCCAAACAGGCAGCCACGCGAGCGGACGCGAAAAAAGAGCGAGATTCTAGCGGTCGTTTACAGGCCTGTTCGTTTTCGGTCAACTGTCGGCCTCAAGCTAACTCTACAAAAGAAGGGCCATGGCCTCGACAATTGAAAATAGACTCCAACAATAAAGACTCAGATCAAACAATTTCTCTAGTGAAATAACCCTTATCGACCTCTTTTAGATCTCCCAGGCCTCAACAGCATGACCATGTCCTCACCAAAGACAGTCGCATTCTTCGGCGCTAGCACAGGCGTAGGCCTCTCAGCGCTAAAGCATTCACTGGCTGCAGGGCATAACTGCATCGCTCTCTGCCGAATCACATCAAAACTTGAGGCGCACGTATCGCCTAAAGCTCATCCTAATCTGCGAATCGTTGAAGGTAACGCCCACGATATAAAGGCAGTGTCTTCTTGTCTAAAGAAGGATGATGGCTCAATCGTCGATGCAATCGTCTCTACGATTGGCGGCAAGCCCATCATTCACAAAATGACGATTGATGATCCCAACTGCTGTCGCATCGGCATCACTGTCCTTCTCGATGCCCTCGCGCAAATACGTGTAGAGGGTGCAGTAGGAAGACCTCACATCACCGTCTTTAGCACCACTGGCATGTCGGACTTTGGTCGCGATTATCCCCTTCTTCTCTACCCTATTTATGCGATTGCTCTCAAGGTCCCCCACGAAGACAAAAAGATCATGGAGACCAAGTTGGCCGACAGTGGTGAAGACTTCACCATCGTGCGGGGCAGTTTGTTGGTGGACGGTGAAAGTAAAACGCCAGTGCGCGTGGGCATCGAGGTCCCCAAGAATGGGCTGGAATCTTTGGAGATCGGATACACTATTTCACGGGAGGACGCTGGGAAGTGGCTGGCAGAAAACCTCTTGGTAAAAACACGTGCTGAGTACGTGAACAAGATTGCATCCATCACTTACTGAGGGGCTCAGCAGAATATCATTAACATGGCGTTGGGAATTGGTTGGGAACACAGCGTGGAGGTACATATAGATTAGCTCGTATTATCGACCTTTTGCTTCATACAAGTAATAATCATCAAAACACCAAAGATCCGGGGCGTCTTGAATGAACTCTTGATATCTTGTTCAGGAATTGAGGCGATGATCCTGGCTACCCTGAGGCATCAGCGCTGGGGAGAATGGCACAGTTGTCCCAAAATGCTCTAGCGCTTATCTTGACTTCCAGATAACCTATCAGGACTTTAACACTCAGTATCGTAGCTACTTATCAGTCAAGCTTTGGGGTTCGAATTGAACTGATACAATAAGTAATATACATGTTTTGATAGCTAATTTCAATCTAAGTAGTAGAGAGACACATGGAGAAGGCTTAGCACAATGAGCAAATTAATCTATGATGAATTCCTGGCTGGCCGAAAGCAGGGGTAAAGTAGTGACTGATCGTACACGATAGCGATGATTGGAAGCAGCGCATCTACCACGATAGTTCGCCCGATGAAGAGTTCATTTCCCTCGAAGAAGGACGTAAATCTCTATCGCGACAAAAAAGATCCAACTATTGCAGATCACATCGTATATACACGAGACTCTCTCATCTTTGCTGGTCCCAGTATTGCTGTTCATCACGAATGACGCCCTCCCCCGCTATCCCAACCCCTCTCGCGTCAGATTCGGCCTCCGCGCCCGAGAAAAACGCGAGGAACGCCTCCACAGCCAAGCTCCGCAGCTGCGTCGTATGTCGTAGTCGTAAAGTGCGCTGCGACAAGCTGTCACCATGTTCAAACTGCCGCAAGGCTAATATTCCCTGCGTTGTACCCTCCAATGATCGTCCGCCAAGATGGGCGAGGCGCTTGGAGCGCATCGCTGATAATGGGCAGGGTGTAGCAGCACAGGGCGGTGGCAGTTCTGGGACTGATCAGGTTATGAATAGACTGCGGACGCTGGAAAATTTGGTCAAGGAGTTGAGCGGACAGCTTGAGGTGGCTAATGCTGCTGCGAGTAGGGGTGCGTCATCTGAGGCGCCATCGCCTCAAGATGTTGTGAAGGATGCGGCGAGTCCATCGTCGACATCAACGGCCTCTGACGTGCAGAAACATTTTGGGAGAATGGTTATTAAGGATAAGAACAGGGAAAAGTATGTAGCTAGTGGCTTCTGGTCTCGCATCAGTGATGAGGTACGTCAACTCCAGCCCTGCTTCTGCTGTTCATCGCTCTGACTGCCTGCAGCTCGATGGCCTGAAGATGGATACTCGTAGGATGGCAGATGACGATGAGTCTTCCGAAGATGAAGACTTTCCGGTCAGCACTCCCTCAACTCAAGAACTCTACCGAGAACCATCGGAGCGGCATGCTTTCTTGTTTCGAAACAGCCAAGCTCCTGCATCGCCCGGCGAACAAGACTTCAGCCCGTTGCCATCACAGATCCCCTTCTTACTCGACGTATTCGACGAGAACATAAACCTCATCATGCATATTGTGCATATGCCGAGCATCAGAAAGATGGTTCGCCCTTCACCTGGGACAGCGGCCAAGGTGTCTCTCAAGCACCAGGCGCTGCTCTTCTCCATCTACTACGCTGCCATCACATCCATGGAAGACGACGATGTGCTAGCCAATTTTGGATCTACGAAAACGGAGCTTAATATGAAGTTCCGTCGAGGCCTTGAACAGGCTTTGGCACGAGCAGACTTCCTCAACAACCCGGATATTGTCCTTGTTCAGGCCTTGGTCATCTTCTTATCTCTCGCGAGGCGGTACGATAGCCCTGTTTACGTTTGGATGATGACTGGTTTGATGATTCGTATGGCTCACGCTGTTGGCCTCCATAGAGACGGTTCAAGGTTTCAGCATCTGTCACCCTTTGAAGTTGAGCAACGCCGTCGCCTTTGGTGGATGATCATTACAGTTGACATACGTGCATCTGAAGATCAGGGGACTGAGTTCTCGATCACACAAGACAGCTTCGATACCAAGATACCTCTCAACATCAACACTTCAGACATTGAGCCTGAGACGAAGGAGACTCCTCCGGAGCGCAAAGGCGTCACAGACATGTCCTTCGCACTCTCCATGTGTGAACTAGCCCAAGTTTCGAGACAGTTGATGGCATCGAGTATTCACTCATCCGGGCCTACCCTCGAGGAGCAGACTAAGATGCTCGACGGTATCCAAGAAAAGCTCGAGAACGGCTACCTGTTCCGCTCCGCTAACCCAGAAGATATAGCCAACTGGGTCGGGATCGTGTGCGCACGGCTTGTGCTTTCCAAGCTGACACTCTTAGTGTATCTTCCTTCGCTTTTTGCATCGCCAGACGAGCGGTTCTCGGACGATATTCGAGACAAACTGCTCGTCGCTGCTATCGAGGTCGCAGAGCATAACCACGCGCTCAATGCTGAGACAAAATGCCGCCAGTGGCGATGGATCTACCAGACGTATACTCACTGGTATGCCATTGTATGGCTTCTGATTGAGACATCCAGACGGCAGTGGTCGCCTACTGTCGAACGCGCATGGGTGGCTCTGCACAGCGTGTGGCTGATACCGTCACAGCACAACATGACCAAGAATGCGCGTATGTGGATTCCGCTACGCCGATTGATGGCTAAAGCGAGAAGCCACCGAGACGAGCAGCTGGTGCAAATCCGGAACAACCCTGCTATGATCGAGAAATTGGAGCAGGCTGATCGCTCGCTTCCTGTTCCTGTTAGCCCGGAATCGTCCCAGGAGGCAACTTTGCAGCAGCGGTTTCTTGAGCATTGGCGTTCCGCTGTGGGCAAGACTACCTATGGTACTTCCGAGCAACTTGTACCTCAAGCCAGTGATAGCACCACGACCCAATCCCTAGAGAATTCGGCCATGGGTAACAATGCCACTCAGTGGGCAAACCCCTCGTTCGACTTTGCTTCTTATCACCCTGGGCTTCAGATGGGCGTAGCTGGTGATACACTACCAACAGAGATGAACATGCTTCCCCAAGCATGGGCTGATGGCCAGCCTGGAGAAGCAGATGTTGCATCATGGCTTTGGACCGACATGGATCAAAGTGGCAACGGATTAGGAGACATCGATATCAATATGGATATTGATACTGACATTGACTGGAATACGTGGCTACAGTCTGCTACAGGCATGGAATTGAATCAAGGAAACACGGGGCCGTCTTGAGTAATTTTGGATGATAGGCGTCAGAACTTCAGTCCAAGGATGATACATGTATGGAGCAAATACGAATTAGGATAACATGAGGGTTGGTTTGACGATCAGACACGAAATACTCGATGGTGAATCTAAAGTAGGACGATCCATGGTTACTAGAGCCTTTGGCTAAAGTCCTCCGAACCATACAGCTCCTTCTGGCGCTCAAGCACAGCCGGGTGACGAATCACGCCTGGTTTCAGTTTGCCAAAGTCCAAGTCAACGCCCTCCTCCATATATGGAAAGGGACCAAGAGGTGTAATAGCAAGAGGATTGATCTTGTAGTGGCTCTTTGTGTACTGATACAAGATTAGTCCCATTCAGACAAATGGGTTACAGACTTACGTTTTCTTTGATATGCCTAAAGTCTGTGGTCTCTTTGAAGCCTGGAACATTCCAGTAGAGGTTCTTGAGCCACTCATGAACGACTGGGTAGTTGGCGCGAATGGTTCCGAGATCGCATTTAAAGTGACCAACATAGACAACATCAAATCTGACGACAGTGGCATACGCGCGTATGTCGACTTCGGTGAGCTGCTTGCCAAGGATATAGGGGCCTCCATTTTGGTGGATTAGTGCTTCGAGCTTGTTGAGTGCCGCGAAGACTGTTGGCACATTGTTGTTGTAGTCCTCCTGGGTCGTTGCGAATCCGGCTTTGTAGACGCCACTATTGAGGTCTCGTTGCATCCAAACATTGATGTCGTCAATGGTCGATCTCAAGTTCTCGGGATAGAGGTCAAGGTCTCGCCCGGGGCTGTTCGAGTCAAGGATGGAATCGAAGGCTGTTGGCAACCAACGAAGCAATTCGTGGCTCTCATTATTGACCATTCGATTCTCCTTCTTGTCCCAGAGAACAGGTACACTGTACCGCCCTTTATAATCAGGGTCATCTCTGAAGTAAACCTCGTGCATATACTTTGATTTGAAGAGGTGATCTTCGGTAGCCCCTTCATAGACATCATCCGGAGGACTCGGAAACTGCCAACCAGGCCATCCCTTATCGTCGCCCTTGGGGTAGGGTTTCACGACGGATAGACTGATGATATCTTGGAGACCTTTGAGATGCCGAACAAGATTTGCCCGGTGAGCAAAAGGGCAGAAGAGTCCGATGTAAAGATGGTAGCGGTCCTTCTCGGGCTGGAATGGGCCATCCGAAGTAATGACCCCGTGCCACGAGTCATCAGGGCTGCTATGAACAGTCATTTTTTGAGCTCTAATCAGCGACAATGATGTATCATGTATAGAACTTGTGCACTTATCACATATGAGGATGTCAGGTTTGTATGGCGAGATAGAGTGCTGACCCCGCTTGATGACGGATAATCGGAATTGGGGGTCCGGTTCCGGAACTGGGCTCGGAACTGAACTTTACTGAACTGCATATGGGCTTTTATATGTATTGTATAGTTAATACCTAGAAACAAATAGAGATAAGGCATTGTGTGTGCTGAAATTGATATACTGGAGTGCTGGTGAATTCTACGGTATTTAATGGTGACTGGATCACAATGAACAGGAATCATGGCTCAGAGGTTCGAACGATGCGGCTCAGTCACAGAAATGGAATTTGGGAGAAGAACCTGCTGTATATAAATGATAGTATGTAGTGTCAGGCCGCGTTCACCTTCCACTGTCTCAACCTAAGTATGGAAGAACAGGATTAAAGAGAGTATAAGAAGAAAAGAAATCAGGCAATGACAGATGTCAGAGACTTTCAGGGTAGAAATCGCAAGGTTAAGCGGTGAAAATAGAGGCTCTCTCGTTGAGATGTGTGTCAGGAGTGAGGAAACGAGTGTTGATTGCCCTGCATGAATATCCCCCAAACATTATCATCATCATCCTAGCACATAAGTTGTAAGCCATCCGGCCCAATGATCCCAGACTTGGGGCCAGTCGTAAGCACGATTTTGCATCAAGCAAGATCGAGGTAAGCTTTTTTGAGCATAAAAGGGTGGCCATGAGTTGCTGGCCTAAGTTGAAGTTTTATCAGGCTTGCCTGGACCGTCTGGCTTGCCCGGGTGATCAGGTTTTCCAAGCTCAGGATAGTCTGGTTTGCCTGGACCATCTGGCTTACCTGGGTGATCAGGTTTTCCAGGCTTAGGATAGTCAGGCTTACCAGGACCGGGATGATCAGGTTTACCAGGTCCTGATTGATCAGGCTTGCCAGGTCCTGGATAGCCAGACTTACCAGGGCCAGGATGACCAGGTTTTCCCGGGTGATTAGGCTTTCCCGGATGGTCTTGCTTACCATCTGGGTGGTCAGGCTTTCCTGGGTGACTAGGTTTACCGGGTCCAGGATAGTCAGGTTTGCCTGGGTGATCAGGTTTATGAGGCTTGGATGGATAATGAGGCTCAGGCTTGTGCGGCTTAGGAGGAGGATAATAAGGTTCCGGCTTAGGATGCTTAGGAGGCGGGTAATGAGGCTTCCCAGGCTGGCCAGGGTTGTTCTCCCACGGTTTATGGGCCTTGCTTGGATGATCTGGCTTTCCTGGCTTGGGATAGTCAGGTTTTCCAGGGTAATCAGGCTTATAGGGCTTGGGAGGAGGATATTGAGGCTTTGGCTTTGGCTTGTGAGGCTTGGACTTTCCAGGCCCGCCATATTCTCCCCAGCTCTTTACGGGCTTGTACTCAGGGTAGTAGACCTCGCTGCCAGGCTCGGCAACAGGAGCAGAGAAAGCACCTGAGATCAGAGCTAAGAGAGTAAATGCAGACAGCTTCATCTTTGTAGATGGTTGGCAGGACTGTGCTGCAGTAAAGAAAAGATTGTAAAATGGGTTGCAAAGTCTCTTTAAAGAGTGAAGAGACGGTTGGAGAAGTAGAGCCGAGAAAGTGAAGGGCGGATGAGGAGGGAAGAGAATAGATCCGGAGGGGGAAACGGCTAGCTTTTATGTTCCCCTCCCGTCGCCGGATGAGATGTGAGAGTCATCATACAACATCTGCAGTTGGTCTCGACCACTGTATACCATTGCACCCCATCGCGAATGCATCGACTGGGATCGTGTGAAATCCACGTTGAGTGGTATGCCCACCTACAATCACTTGGAGAATATCCGACAGGCATGCATCATGATGCCCTTGTTCTCTCTCTCAAAACAAATACGTGGCTTACCTATCGGATGAGAACTCCCGCCTTGATTCTTAGATGCGATTGGCTTCTACAAGGACTCCACCCTTCGAGCCCGACATGACTGTTTCTCTCAGGACGGAGTTGATACGCTGAAAAGTTCTGCCACATGGGGTTACTGCAGAATGATGTTGTCATTGCCGTCGAATTCCAAGCGGTGACTTGCTTACCAACAGAAATTTGTGTCTTCTCGTATCATGCATACACTTTTTCAATGTGGTGTCTTCATGCAGAAGCAGAGAGCAAAAGTTGGGTGGAGGTTCCCCTGAGGCTGAATATCGAAACAGTCAAGGTAAAATCCCACCAACGAGTGATGGGAATACTTGTGGGGTTGCTGTGGCCGACTTATCTTCAGGTGCGGTTCGGACAAATGAACTCTCCGTGTCCAGCCGGCTATGGGTCAGCTTTAGATGGAATAACCCAGTTGATGTGAAACAATAATTCAGGGGATACATCGTATTCATTCATAATCAAATAGAAACAAAGCGAAAGAGCTTTGCTGGCACAATAACAGCATCTCACTCCGCAGCTTGGGTTGCTGCTGCTGTACCTCTCCGAGATCTCGCAACCGAGTCTTCCGGAGATAATGCTATAGGCATGACACTACACAATATGCTACTCATTCTGCATATCGTGTGTAGGGCGAAATGGGTCTGGTCGAGTTGGTCATCACCAATCAAAACGTTACCAGTGGTTGCATACTCAGGAATGCGGGTATCAAGCCAAACCGGCCTCAACGTTGAGGCACTTGTAACAGTCAGATCCAAACTCAATTCCGTATTAGCATCAGACCTAAGCTAAATTTATGGTTGCTCTTGTCTCTTCAATGTCTGTGCCTGGAGCTATCATTCAGGTACCTGGGAACCTGAGAGCTCGTTTAGACGATGATATGGTTACAGTGTCATCTTGAATCGATTATGACCGAGTAAAAGAACTCTATTTAAACTTTCTAATATGCGTATCAAGTCGACCTAAGTCATTCAACTTAGCCTGACTTGGTGTTTTCATCGATCGATTTTGCTTTGGTCGATTCTAGAGAGCATGAATCGTGAAGTTCAGCATCGCCAACACTATATGTGAGTGCAATTATGCAGTCGCCTCATGCAAGCTCGATGCGGTGTTTCCGTTGTGCACCAGGAGAATATCATTGGAACCCGCCTAACAGAGCGTATGTTGCCGAGAGGGGGGTCATGATTCATGGCTATTGACACTCAGAACAGGAAACCAAATGGTTCGGCTCCCCATCTTGATAATTTGAGGGTGTGATGACCTGTCCATTTCTGTATGCACAACATTCAATAGTCTTGTTTAGGGTATTTTTAGCTCTAGTCGGGGACTTTCTTTTGGACCAACTACACCTCAAAATGGAGGCCCAATCCTGATTTGGCCAGATCATAACATCACGTGAGATGTGAAACAGATGAGTCTTCGTATTGATTCATACCTGCATTAGTTCAAGGTCTGGGTTCGTTTGACTTGAGTGCATAAACATGGTCGAGACACATCATTTGGTACTGTCTTGCCAGAAGCTTGGACTATTGACAGTTAGATACTCAGCCGCATGCAGTGTAAGCTCTCAAAGAGTGTTCTCTACTCCAATTGATCCAACAGCCTTTACAAATGATCACTGATTCCAGCACTTTCTACGATGGAGAGTCTTCTTTCGACACGGAGATCCTTCAGTCCATAGTTCGGCTTAGCTATCCCCGCTATGTTTAACCTTATTGCCAAGCTCACAGGCTGTTTCCAGTCATATCCGCTATACTTATGCCATCTATGGTATCCGGACTCCGGCGGATCCTAACAGTGACAACGAAGCTGTGTAACGCGAGAAGCACTGTAGAGTTCCACGACCTTCTTAATGGTTTGTGGAAATTGAAGCTAGGAGGACAGTACTACCAGCTTTTGCTCGTCTGGTCGCTATGGCCGTATGTGCAGAAAAGATTCACTCTGATTGGATTCACGTCAGCTTTGTTACTGGTCCTGATATACAAGTCCATTGCCAGCCAAGGAGAGGTGATACACAGTATAACATGATTTTCGTCTATGACACTAATACCTACAAGTGTCCACATAAAACACCATTGCCATGAATGGAAGCTATTATTTGCTTGTTAAGTTGCATGATGTCACTGTATGCAATGATACTGCTGCATCTAGTGTTTACAAATCATCTGCTTCTCTCCGCCCTTCCGACTTATTGCGGAGGCCAGCTCAGGAGTGAGGCCCCATCAGTACAGGCCCCTCTTTCTACTTCAGACGGGCCATCGCGGACCAGTGAGACGCACTTGAAAAGTAATGAAGGCCTTCCGTTAATGACTATCGAAGCCCGATCTGCAATTCTCAAGATTCCTTTCTAGTGCCGCAGGATTGCAGTATGCACTTCCGTAGGGTGCTAGCTTACATCGCGGTGCGAGTTTCATGTTCCTGCTTATGCTCCGTGCACTAGAGCTGTGCTCCCCGCCCGCTGACGAGACAGTATCTCGCTCAGGTTGACTCAAGTAATTGCAAGCTTACTGCCACAATGGCCGTCAGCTGAAAAAGACATGATACAGAAGACAGACTACAGTGCATCAGATGCTGTTGCATGTTCACTTGTCGTGTAGCCGTTGGCTCATCTATCATACGCAAGTAGTGCAGTAAGAGATGCAGAAGAGAAGCAAGTGGGTGTATCAGGTCTATGGCACTATTTGAGAGAAGGAATAGAGTCTATGTCCCATAGGAATCTGAACCTTCTACACATATTGTTCACTGTTTCCAACCAGTTATTGCAACATTATCCCAGCCCAAAAGATCACAACTGATGGTACCCTTGAACTTTTGGTACTTATTTCCAGTAAAGACTATATAACCAATGCCTGATTGAATCGCGTCGAGTGGTGCCGAGGCTGCGCCCGATTGAGGCTTCACAAGGACATTTCCTCTCCATGAAAGCCAGAACTTTGGTTGTCGGAAGGTGTTCTTCTCAAAGTTTTCCGACCGCAGCTCTTCAGTGGTCTTGTAGTCATGAGGCGCGTTGGGGCGATTATCTTCATCTCCGGAAGCCTCAAATGATTGCTGTTCGGGGCAGGTCTCGTGTTGTTGATCATCAACGTCGAATTCATCCGCTGATTTTTCCTCAGCGATATGTTCAGCGTTTTCGGCCTCGCAATCTTGTTCCGTGGAGATGTTTGCGCGATCCAAGATGTCGTGGATTTTCTTCCGACTTCCTGCCATGATAAAGGAAGCATCCAACACGCCGGGAAGAAATAGGTCACCTTGCAACCCATCTTCCCCATCGGTAAACCGAAAAACCTCAAACCGCGCCGAGTTCTCGGAGTGATGTTTATGTTTTACATCCCTTTGATCTTTAGTTGGGTCCCTATCGCATGGCGACGTACAGGCCAGGGAATGGGCTTTAGGGCATTGAAGCTGGTATGAGCCGAGGATTCTTGAAATGCTTAAAGCGCTAGAACGTTGTGGTATAAATTTGCGAGTCTTCCGATTATGAAAGGCGCGCGAGGAAAGCATTTCCTGTTGCCAACATTGGTCCATTTTAGAAGAATAAGTAAAAAGTTACTGAGGTAGGAGACAGGGGTAAATGCATGTGGGTATGTATGACGCTGTGATGGGTGTTTAAATGCAGTATAATTACCCCCCTAATTGTACTATATTAAAGCCATTAATAGCTATATTAAAGCTATATTTTTAGCTATTTTTTAATTAAGGTATTTATAATTATAAGATATATATAAGGCATTTTTATTAATTTTATAATATATTATTTTAAAATAACTTAATAATTATAATTTTATTAAAAAATATACTATTATATAATTAACTTTAATAATAAATATTAGTATTTAATTATAATAATTATTAATTATATAAATATTTTTCTAATTAATATTAATAACCTTAATATTATATAACTTTTTTAATATTAAAAAAATATAAATAAAGATTTTTTATATATTAATATAGAAAGTTAACTTTATAGTTTTAAATTATTAAATAAGGCTTTTTAAAATATATTTAAATATAATTTAAAAATAGTTTTTTATTATATATATTATAAGCTAAAAGATAATCTTAAAAGATTTAATTAATTACCTAAAATAAAATTAAGGCCTATTAATATAATAATAGGCTATTATTATTAATATTATTATAAGTAATAATAATAACTAATATTAATTATAATTTATAAAGTTAAAATATATAATTATAATAATTAAAATAATAATATAAAAATTATATTATAAAAATTAAAAGCTATTATAAAAAAAAAAGGTAAATTAAAAAATAAAAGTCTTAATATTAAAAAAAAACTATAGATATTAATATATTAAAGTTAATTTAATAAATTAATAATAAATTAAATTAAATTATAAAATAATATAATATAAGAAATATAAATTAAAAATAAATATAAATACTTAATATTTAAATTTAATTAAATATATATATTAATATATAATTAATTAATTTTATATTTAAAATCTATAATTAAAGTAAAATTAATAAAAAAGTAATAATATAAATTAAAATTAATTTTTTAATTTCTTTTTTTATAATAATTTTAATTTTAAAATTAAATTTTATTTTATTATTAATTTAATTATTTAATTATTTCTTTTTAATTTTAATTTATAATATTAAATAATTAAATTTATTATTTTATATTATTTTTAAAGCTTTTATAAATTTAAAGTATTTTTAATTT